TTGTTAATCTGTACCATAGAATTTTTCACAATAAAAAAATAGAAGCTATTTCACTATACTAAAACTAAAATAAAATTTAACCCTATAACTTTTGAATATATAGTCATAAAAAACCTTTCTTATATTCTAACGTTCAGCCATATAAAAATGGAAGCTATGGTGATACTAACAAGTATGTATAAAGTAATATCTTCAATCCTCAGATATGATAAATAAGCTTAATTGAAAGTTATTATAATATCAACATCTCAGTGTATCTTGTAGAAAAACACGTTACTAGTATTCTTAATAGTTACAATTAATTAAGGTTTTTAGCTGAGATAAAAAGTCAATGGCACGAGCTGGATTCGAACCCACGACCTTCGGCTTGATCGCCGCTGCTCTACCACTTGAGCTATCGTGACCTCGATCCACTCGGACACCAACTTTCCAACTTGAAAAATGGCAAAAAGGAGGGAAAATTCAAAGCGGTTGAGATGGGAAGTTGGTGTCCGAGTGGATCGAAGTCACGATAGCTCAAGTGGTTGAATACGGCGTATTTAGCCGAGGGTCGTGGGTTCGAATCCCGCTCGTGCCATTGACTTTTTTATCTCAACTAAAAACCTTAATTAATTGTAATATATTAATTGGTCAAGCGGACCACGAAATTAGTGAATTCTTAATAAATTCTATAGTAGTAGTAATAGTAATATTTTCTGTTTCTGGCAATATAATAAACTATAAAGGCATGACCCGATCATATACACTCAAAAAGGTCGACAAAAGAACTGAGTGTTTTGTTTCCAATTTGCCTCATATTATCAATAATTAATAATGTTGTTATACAATTAAATCCATTGCAGTTCAGACAAATTAACATTTTTCAATTAATTAATATTTGGTTGAGATAAAAAAAGTCAGTGTCACGCGTCCGTCCACATAAAAAAGTGTCCGAGCGGATCGAAGTCACGATAGCTCAAGTGGTAGAGTAGCGGCGTATTTAGCCGAGGGTCGTGGGTTCGAATCCCGCTCGTGCCATTGACTTTTTTATCTCAACCAATACATAGAGTTTTAACCAAAGTTATTCCATTGTTTTGATAAATTTTCTGCCTAACCGTCATAATTAAATAATTTTTATAAAAACTCACGAATTTTTGATACCGTTTAATTTGGTTTACATTTAAATAAGAATGTTGTCATTAATATAACGACATATTACATAAACATAGTTTGAAATAAACTACAAAAATATGAGTATCCTGTTCTGACGCTACTCGACGAAAACTGTGAAATTTTATTAGCAAAACCATAAAATAAATTATTAGTTAAATTTTATTAGCAAAACCGTGTAATAAATTGTTAGTTAAATTCGTTATAACAAAAAATGATATTCCGGTGTTTTGATCAATTGTCTACCAAACCATTAAAATTATTTTTTTTAAATAAAAGCTAATGAATTTTTGATCACGGTTGGACAGTGGGGATCGCAGAGCGTAGAGTAGACATTGGGTATGTCCCCCACTTTACAGAAATCACACAGACTCAAAACTGAAGATGGCAACATACCGAAACGCGTCCGACATACTCAATATATAATGATCGGTAATAACCAAACACATTATATTGTTGCAATAAGATATTTTGATTATTTAAAAATAGCACTTCATTCTGTTACATTTATGATTCCATTTTCGTTTTCTACGAATTTAAAGCTTGAAAGAAATTAAAAACCTTTCTTTAAAACCATGGTACTATGTAAAATGTTGGTAAAAAAATAAATAATTAAAAAAAAACAAAGTGTTAGAAAACTTTTACCACAGCTTCTTTCTTCTCTGTTACAGCTAAAACAAGCATTTAAATTTTTTTATTTTAGCTTTCTTTTATTTTTGACATTTCTCCTATATTTATTTGGCGAACGTAAAAGCTATTATCACATATTTTATCGCATGGCGATTTATCGAATTACGGGTCGTACAAATTGACAACCGATCAAGTTTGAACTTTCGTTGTTTCATGTGGTCGTTCTGTGCATCAATGCTTTTACGGCAAAGGACCCCCCGTGTGTATGAAACAGACGTGATGTGAGCCCAGAGCAGAAAATCGAATGATCAATGTACAAAGGATCCAGCACGCCACCGTCATGCGATTAAAATGCACTGGTAAGATTATTCAGGAAAATCAAGTTGTAATTATAGCGAAAACCTTACCAAAAGCTCTGCGATGGACAATATACATAATAATTAATCTGTCCCCCCACAACTCGTAGAACAGTAAATTTGTTAAAATATGTTTTCTCGTCTTGTCTTTTTGTTAAGTTTATATAATTTGAGATAGATAATAGATAGATAGACGGATAAATAGATAGAATGAAGGAATAGAGTATAATTTTATTTTAAAAATCTGGAAAATTTTGATCATTAATGACTTCCCTTCTAATTTATAAGAGAATAAGAAAGAGAGAGAGAGAGAGAGAGTGAGAGAAAAAGAGAGAGAGAAAGAGAGAGAGAGAGAGAGAGAGAGAGAGAGAGAGAGAGAGAGAGAGAGAGAAAGAAAGTAAGAGAGAGAGAGATATGGACTTTTTTTCACCAAGCAAAGTTAGGTCTCGTGGACTTAACGTGGATTACAAATTTTACATTTAATTTCAATTATACCTCATAACAAATATACATGTTTATACGTTTAGTCATTTTATATAATGGATAAATGAAAATATTGTAGTAGAAAATGTTTTGCTTATTATTTATGGTATTTATGAAAGGATGTAAACAATTGTACAAACGTGTGGTGATTAGTGACCGTTAATCGATATTTATTTAGAAATCGTGAGATGTGGTCTGGTGTGATGTAGGTTTCAGAAAAACATTTTCTTTATCGTGCCAACGTTTCGATCTTTATTGAGATCATCTTCAGGGCCTGGGATTTACACAGAATTACACAGACGAAAAACCTTTGAGTGAGTAGAAATACTTTGATTGAATAGATAAAAAAATACATTTTGCATTGTATAAATTCACTTTTCCACATCCAAAATGTAATTGTTATATGTAAACAATGTTTGTAATTCCCAGGCACTGAAGATGATCTCAATAAAGATCGAAACGTTGGCACGATAAAGAAAATGTTTTTCTGAAACCTACATCACACCGGACCGCATCTCACGATTTCTAAATTGTACAAACATTTTGATTCATCAAATTATTATCAATTGTCGAAATTATTAGAAAGGGACGATAAGAAAATTTTTCAGTATCAGCTTCAATTTAATGTGGGTGATTATTAGTGACCGTTAATCGATAATTATTCCGAAATCGTGAGATGCGGTCTGGTGTGATGTAGGTTCAGAAAAATCAATCTTCTTTCATCTTCAATTTAATCAAGTATCAATAAACATAATGTTGTACAAGCTTAAATGTTTAATTTAACTACTGTAAATACTGTACATTGATTAAAAATTTTACATTTATTTTCTATTACTCCATAACTAGAAATCATATTTATAAAACTCATTTTACACAAAAAGTAAACAAATACATATATTTGAGCATTAAATGTTTTGTTTATTATTTATTATTTACGAAGCCATGTAAAAATTGTACAAACAATGTGATTCTGAACAATTAATATATTGATATGATATATAATATTACATTAATATAAAAATAAAATATTGGAAGATTTTTCAGTGTTATTAAATTTTAAATTAAATATTAAATATTTGACAAGTCATAGACTATACATTTAATTAATAATAATCGTCAATATTCTTTTCTATGTTTTAATACAGTTAGGTTGTTAACGAGAAATTTTGTTTAAACTTTATGTACATCATTCCAATATTTTAACTAATCCCAAATGTAAATTTGTTCTCACTATAATTTTTTATGGAGTAATGATGCCGTACCTTTTGAAGATCATCCATTTTTAAAATATAAGTAATTTTATATTTATCGTATTTTAAATTTTGTATCAATCTAATACAGAAGCTAATTATGTTTGAAGTGTACTTATGTAATTATAATTCATCTCAGACACAATTACCATAAAATACTGTATATGTGGCACAATTAATGTTTTAAATAACTTCACTAGTTTTCGTGGTCCGCTTGACCAATTAATATGTTTCAATTAATTAAGGTTTTTAGTTGAGATGAAAAAGTCAGTGTCAGGAGCGGGATTCGAACCCACGACCTTCGGCTAGATACGTCGCTACTCTCACACTTGAGCTATCGTGACTTCGATCCACTCGGAACTTTCACTTTGAAAAATGGCAAAAAGGAGGGAAAATTCAAAAGGTGGGGTTGAGGTGGGAAGTTGGTGTCTGAGCGGATCGAGGTCACGATAGCTCAAGTGGTATGGCGTATCTAGCAGAAGATCGTGGGTTCGAATCCTCACGAGCGGGATTGATACGCCGCTGCTCTACCACTTAAGCTATCGCGACTTCGATCCGTTCGGATACCAACTTCCCATCTCAACCGCGCCTTTTGAATTTTCCCTCCGATTTGTCCCCGTTGAGATGGGAAGTTGTGTCCGAGTGGATCGAGGTCACGTTAGCTCAAGTGGTAGATCGTGGGTTCGAATCCCGCTCGTGCCATTGACTTTTTTATCTCAACGAAAATCCTTAATTAATTGAAATGTTTTAAATAACGCCAATTTCAATTCTGTTGTTTTATAAGGTTATTTATTGGGTATGCCAACGCGTGTATTTTTTGTTATACGGCTTTAACTTTACTATTCCAACTTAATCTTGGATTGATAAGAAATAGATTCTTCATTTGATTTTTATTATATTATCACTATCCAGAAAGAAATTAAGATTTTTTTTACATAAAAAAAGTATATGGACTTTTTAGATATGATTGATTGTTTGTTTTGTTTGGCATTTTTCTGTTCTACTTTATTATGGTATATCTCCTAATTATCATTTGAGTCATATAAACAATATATTTATCCTGGATTGTTTGAATGTTGTTTATTTTCTTGTAAAGTTTATAATTATTACTGTTTTATTTATTTTGTATTTTTCTCTGCTCACTCGTTATTTTAAAACCATTTTTTTAATACTTGGTAGTTTAGTTGGTAACGAGTTTTTCCTGCCTAGATTATTATGCATGTAAGGTAGGATTAAACTTTCATATACCCTGATGCATTCTTTACTAACCCATTCTATACCCTGGAGGTTAAAGTAAAGGATGATACGTCAGAATAAAAAAAAGATTACTGCGTAAATAATTAATACAGATTTTACATAATATTAATTTAAAAATATTAATAATTTAAAAAGTATATACTTTTGTTTTGTGCGTGTCGAGACAGGAAAGTTATTACATCAGCTTTTTCCAGAGAATATTCCATCTAAGGTTTTTCATCAGGGATCGTGCAATAAACGCTCCGGTTCAAAAACAATCAACTAAATGAAGGCAAACACTCTCGAGTATTCTTTTTTCCGATCCTTGGGCTATAAAACTACAAATTGATTAAAACCCGCGTAGCTTCAGGCGTCGTACTGTTGGCAGATGAATGGCAGCTGCTGCTTGCAGCTTGCAGATGCGAGACCGGCGTCGGAGACGACGACGCAGTCACCGTCCGCAGGTTGTCCCTCGGGCCAAAAGTCATTCCGAACTTCCAGACCGGAACTTAACCAAACGAAATGGCCGGTCACGTTGTTGATCGAGTAGCCTGAGAGCCAATATTTCACACCTGAAACATTGGATCCGAATGGTTTCGCCATTTTGATTGTATTACTCAATTGCAATTAGTCACTCTTGCTCACTCTCATTCTGACCTACGCTCATGTGACACAAACACACAAGGATTAGTGTTTTGCATATTGATAGTTTGTTGTGTACATTTATAACAGACTTAAGTTCAAATTGACTTCTAAGTTGTTTGTACCTTCGGTTGAGTCTTTTTAGTCTATATTTTGTCTAGGTAACATTTTATTTTGATTGCACTGTACTGTTGGGTTGTTTCATATGAAATGTCTGCTTCCAAGGTAAAGGTTTTTGGGTAAAATTATTATACACAAACAAAATCATTTTATTCGAAGTATCTACTTTCATTTTTTACCATTTTCCCAACGTGTGACCAACTTATTTTTGCGAAAACTGAAGAATTCTGATCTTTGAATTGAAACGAAATCTGAAAACGCTTTTTGGACTTTTGGACCTTTGGAACGTCATTTAAAAAAAATATGTTTCGTTGACGAAGTTGTCTAAATTCCTAAACAAGTGAAAATCTGTTGGAGACAAGTCTGGAGAATATGGAGGATGTTGAACAACTTTGTAGCCAATTCAATTCACTAGTTTTCTTGGTCCGTTTGACCAATTAATTAAAGTATTTAGTTGAGATAAAAAAGACGTGTCACGAGCGGGATTCGAACCCATGACCCGAAGGTTGAAAGATATTAATTGGTCAAGCGGACCACGAAAACTAGTGAATTTAATAAGTTAAAATGAAGTATACTTCACTAATGCTGTCCGTGGCCATTTCGTTTGTCTCCGAGAATCAAATAGATTACACGACATTTGAAAAATGGGAAAAAGGAGACAAAATTCGAAAGGTAGGTTTAGATGGGGAGTTGGTGTCCGAGTGGATCGAAGTCATGATAGTTCAAGTGGTAGAGCAGCGGCGTATCTGGCAGAAGGTCGTGGGTTCGAATCCCGCTCGTGACATTGACTTTTTTATCTCAACTAAAAACCTTAATTAAAAGATATTAATTGGTCAAGCGGACCACGAAAACTAGTGAATTTAAAAATAGACTTTTTTGCCATCATCCAATATAAATTTTCTTAACGCTTTTTTTATTTAAATTTAACGAGTTTTGTTCATTAAAGACAGGCTAAATGAACCAAACTTCTAATTTAAATCTGTAGAAATATTAACCAAATCCAGATTTTTATGATTTATTGGTTTATTTATATTAATAAAAATGCAGGGGGGTTTGATGATCTTAAAACAAGAGCTGAAACGTACTGAAATGGGATATTCTACAGCTCTTTAGAATTTAATTTACTATAAATAATTTTCAGTATTTGTTTATTTACTGTCAACGATAGCAATTTAATTGTATTATTGAATAAATCTTAGCGATAATAGAGCTTTTAGAAGTTTCTCTTCAAGTTTAAATAATTTTGAACGGAGTTTCAACAAAACCTATTCCAATTTATTTTTAGTAGTTTTCTTCTCGGAATACTTTCTTAAACATTTTTCACCGTTCTAAAAACTTATAAAAATGTTAAACATCTTGGATTTTGTTGTAGTAATATTATGTACCTGAGAGATTTACCTGGTAGTACAGATGTTTTTAAAATCTCCAACTCGTTCAAGTTGAAAACAACACCCAGGTGCATGTTTATTGTACGACAGTGGCCCAGGGATTCCCACCAGTTCATCTAGAAAAGTTAGTAAAAACACTAAAAAAAAGTTTAAAGTGTACAATTTTATTTTACAAATTGATAAATTCGACGAGCCGGTTTTAAACTTCTACGACGAATTTTAAAATTAAACAAAAGGAAATTCGGCTAATTGAAAATTACGGCTTTGTATTTCTTACCGTCAAAATATCAGAGATGAGGTAGCGCTTTTTGTTAGCATAAACACTAACGGGCAAATCGCAGTCGTAAAAAGCACCGGATGCTTTGTTTGGACATGTGCACCTGTCTAAATTTAATTGGAATCCCAGTTAAAACATTTCATAACAAAATGTTAATGTTACTTACGTTCAGCAGTCGTCACTCCTGTGAACGCAACGAAAAGAGCAAATGAAATATTTAATATGTACAACATATTTAAAATTAGATTTTCCCCTGAAATTGGGTGATTGAAAACTAGCATCGAAGCCTGGGAATTGAGTTTGCTGTAACAAAATCAAATTTTCACGCATTTATTATCGTATTATCCGTGTCAATACTTGTTGAAATTCATTTGTAAGTTTGTCTCCACTATAAACACAAAATGTCAAGTTTAAAATACTTGCATTATTTAGAAATTTACCTTAGTTATATTCGTCGTAAACCAAATTTAAATCTATTTACTAATTTGGTCATTGTTAGTTGCTGGTCCTCCGGGATGGTCAGGATTTACATACTCCGCAACATTTAGTTGATTTTAATATCATTTAATTTAATTTGTATTTTTTTAAACATACTAATTAAAAATGTACTTTTATGATGATGACAGCATGTAACAGCTCATGATTTTAACAAATCAAACCGGTTTGTTTATAATTGTTGGTCCTCCGGGCCGGACAGGATTTGCGTTCAATGTAACCCTAATTCATCGTTTTACTTTTACACACGTAAGTACATTTCTAAATTATATATTTAAAAATAAGTATATAAATAAATATTTATTGCCTCGTTAGCAGTTCTGAGTTTAAATCCCGGCACATCTCTTGGAATTTTACTTGCTAATAATTTACAAAAAAAAAAAAAATGGGTTTGAGTCTTATGATCCTCACCGCAACGCCTAACTGGTAATTGGACGTTACGCTTTCTGTATGACAGGAGTTACTTTGGTTTACTTTATATAAATTTATTTAATTTTTAATGCTTTAATAAAACGGTCATTCCAAATTTAACTCGAGAATTCGATAATTCCATTAAAAATTCGTTGTTGATCCGTAATCTTTAATAGAATCTTTGCTAGTGGTTGGTCCTCCGGGCCGGACCGGATTCACCTACAATACAATCTAGTCTCTACCTGTTATATGTTTATATTTTTATAAACAATAATCAAACATTATACTAATACATAATTATGAAATTTGTCATAATATACACCATTATTCAAGGTCATTATTTGATGATGGAAATATCAGATTTTTACAGTAAGAAAAAGATTTATTATAAAAAATTATTCACTCATGATTTTAATATAGCTGAATCTCTCTGAAAGTCTCTTAAGATTTATTATTTCTAAACAGAGTATGGTAAGGTCGAAAAATTAGTGTCATGAGCAGGACTCGAACCCAAGACATCCCGATAGTGGTGGGTTCGACTCGTGCTATAGAAACTAATTTTTCAACTCTACCATTCTTTACATAATGATAATAAATCAATTAAAATAATTAATTTGCTTAATAGGACCACCTAAAAACTTATATATATTAATCTTCTTAACATTATTGGTTCTCCGGCTCGGACCGGATTTTCATCATAATTCAACCTGCCAACCGTTTCGCCAGCTTCCTCGTTTTACACATTAAGTTTATATCATATTAATTTATAAGAAATTTTGATGTATTAGACATTTCGTCATTCATGATTTAAAGAAGTAGAGATTTCTCGTATTAACACTTAGTCCTTCGTCCATTATTTTTATATTTCGTGTCGATTTTTTCATTTTTTATGAGGATATTTAAACTATGTGGGTAACCCTCGATAAGTCAGCGTTTTTGAAAAAAGCGTACTTGTAACGAACCTGCCAAATTTCGCATACATGATACACTTTTTAATATAGGGCAACATTGAAATGAATAACAGACCCTCAATAATAATAAATTAATAAATAAATAATAATAAAAAATTAAATAATAATTTAATAACCGAGAATCGAATCCTGATTATACGACATTTGAAAAATGGCAAACAGGTGGGAAAGTTCAAAAGGTGGGGTTGAGATGGGAAGTTGGTGTCCGAGTGGATCGCAGTCATTATAGCTCAAGTTGTAGAGCAGTGACGTATTTAGCCGAAGGTTGTGGGTTCGAATCCCGCTCATGACATTAACTTTTTCACTTCAACCAATACCTTACATAAAGATTAATTAATTGAAAGAAGTTATTTGGTCAATCTGACAACGAAATATAATGGATTTAATAAATAAAACGAAGTATATCTTTACTAAAGCTCTCCGTGGCCATTTTATTTGTCGCCGAGAATCGAATCCTGATTACAGGACATTTGAAAAATGGCAAAAATAAGGGAAAATTTGAAAGGTTTTAGTTTCAGATGGGAAGTTGGTGTCCGAGTGGATCGAAGTCACGATAGCTCAAGTGGTAGAGCAGCGGCGTATCCTGCCGAAGGACGTGGGTTCGAATCCCGATCGTAACAGAGACTTTTTCATCTCAATCAAGGCCTTACATAAAGATTAATTAATTGAAATAAATATACATGTTTCGATTTGACATTAAGGCGCAATCAGAGATAACCCCCATCTTCCGATAAGGATGATCGGACGAGAAGTTTAGTTTAGCGCTGGCCAGCGGAGAGGTGACAACAAACCTGTTGAAAACAACACACCGAGGCATTTTTTGTTCTTCTCTTTCTTCTTTCTTTATACCAACACTGCCCAACATTGGAGTCTGAACTGCGTGAGCGAGTCATCCTTTACTTCCAACGCCACCCGATATTGAAGCCGGGACTACAGGCACGTCTTCCAGGGCAGTGAAAATTACATTTATATGTGTTTCGGTGAAGGACAGCGAATAAAAAAACCCCATTATTTTTTGTCATTTTTTATGTTAAAAACATTTTTCGCAACAACGAAAACCTTCTCAAAGAATATTTATGTTAATTTCCGAGACATGCAAGTGTTGCCTTATCTTTTTTTCCTTCTTTTTAATTTCTGTTCCTTTGAATTGTCAAAATATATTTGTGTACTCGTATGTCTTTTTTTATATTCTTTTTTTGCACGCATTGTTCATTACACCCCTTCAATTTGGATTGATCGAAGAGTGCGGGGGGATTCATTAACCTCTCAAAATTAAAAACGTAATCACATTTATTACTAATACTACTTTTTTAATTTGGTAATTTACTTGTATTAATTCAGAAATCGCGAGATGCGGTCTGGTGTAATGTAGGTTTCAGAAAAACATTTTCTTTATCGTGCCAACGTTTCGATCTTTATTGAGATCATCTTCAGGCCTCAAAGTGTTTGTTTTCTACGTAAGTGTGATATATATATATATATATATATATATATAAATTATGTTGATATTAATTATTCGGTCCTACAATTAGATAGTTGATTTTGCAGTATGATTATCAATATGAACAATGTAAAGTGGTTGCTAGCGGCCAACAAATGACACACACTATACAATAATTTACAGTGGTCGCGAGTTGTCAACAGTTTGGTCTGTATTGCCTCGCTTTGTCATTGAAGGTACAATGATCATTGCTCAAGTTAGCAGGATTTGACTCTTTTTGGAAGCATCCTGCTCGATTTTGGTTCATGTTGAAATTGTTTGGCTTAAGAGTTCTCTGTTGCGTTGATATGCTTAAATATTGTAGTCGATTTTGGAATTAATAACTTGATTTCTGTAGAAAACTCAGTTTCTCCGAAACGTTAACGATTTTTGTTGATAACTGTACGAAATTTATTTATTCCTCCATACCTTGATTATAATGTAATCCCCGTGATATTCCCTCGCGTGGTATTTCAGCGGTTTAATGAAAGTTGGTAATTTATTTTGGGCCGTTTAACGAAGCCGGGCCGACGTGAAAGCCAGATGTCAAGCCCTGGATGACATAAAGGGGATAATGCCGTTAGGAGAAAGGACCCACTAAATTACCCGACAATTAAGCCAAAATTGGATTAACCACCCTTCATTGAGTTTGAGACCGATGTCGCGGGAAATTAACGCCAGGTGAAGACGTCTCAGGAGGAACACAATTTCTTCGGCCCTCTCCTTTTTCTCAAATATTCAGGAATTTCCGGACTAAGAAATAGGAAAATCCTAGCGGTGGCAGGAGGCACGATCCGGTCTTTCTCCACGGAGCGTGACCTGACTGGGAGCTACCCAGATGAAAAGGAAATCGTCTTCTAAATTTATTTGCATCATTCTGTATAGTGGGTTAGAAATGCGTCTCCAACCCACGATATCCACTGCCTTAAGGTGATATAATAATGTGAGAACAAGAACAAAAAATTTCTATATGTGACAAGAAAACAGTATGAGGATTATACAAAATGAAACATTTTAAAATTCTTCACATTGCTACGATGAAATCGACCAATATCACTCACAACGTTAGTAACACGTACTCAATAAAAATTCACACTTTTGTTCGGTGTTTTCTATTACAATTTACAGTACTTTTTACAGGGGTTTTCAAGTTAAAATTCCGTCATGTCAACGATACTAGTGAGGCTGACAAGAAAATCTAATTTTAAGCGAAGAGAGTAATATTTTTCACTGCTTTTCTCTATCTTTTTTTCACGTATCTTAAAACAGATCTATTTTCGCTTGAGTGCCAACTTTACGAAAAATTCTCTGATATGATTTACACATTGTTTTATCGTTCAATGATTTCCGTTTTTTAAAATCCAGGGAAAGAAAGTCGAATGAAAGCAAAAACTGGTTAAATTTCAAGTTTGCCTTTATTGGTTCTAGCTATTTTTTCTTCGTTTATTCACGTGATTTCTTTTTTCTGACAAATTCAACGAACGGATTAGGTCATTGTTCATATAATTCACGTCAAACGTTAAAATTAACATGCCTTTTTTTGTTTTCATGTTTGGATTTTTTTTGTACTATTTTTAAAGATCTCGATTATTTACGGAGTTCTTGATGAGTTTTTCCCTTAAAATATCAACGCTTTATTTTATCTAATTTTAAGCGAAGAGTTATATAATACACTGCTTTTCGCTAACTTTTTTCATGTACTTAATATGGATCTATTTTCGCATAAATGCAAACTTTACAAAAAATTCTCTGATATGGTTCACAAAGCTTCAGCTTTAACAAAAACTAAAATTTTATGATAAAATAAAACATTGATATTTTATTGAGTTCTTGATGAGCTTTTGTTCCTTAAAATATCAATGTTTTATTTTATCTTCAAATTTCATTTCTTGTGGAAGTTTTTTTACTTAAA